AAAAAAATCATTCTTTATCTTTCCATCCTGCATCAATTAGTGGGCAGGGCAAATTCTAGTTATAAACAGTAAAGATGTGTCCTACTAGCTGGGATTAAATAAGATGTACTCATTTTACTTTATTCTTTTTAAAAGACTGCACATTTAGAATGAAAATAATTGCCAAGGTGTTGCTAAGGTTTATTTACTGGTCATTCAACGAAAGACGCTGTAGAGCTGGGTATGGTGGTGCATGCCTATATCCCAGCACTCGGGAGGCAGGACGACTCTGCAAGTTTGAGACCAGCCTGGGCTACAAAGTGAGCCCAAGGCCTGTCTGAGTACAGAGCAAAACCCTGTCTCAAAAAAACCAAAAAAAGATACTGCAAGCTTTTATTAGCTGTAACAATATAACAATTTATGGGGTTGGCATGTTAGCTCAGCTGTCTAAAACTCCTCCTTGGGCAAAATCAGTCAGAGGCAAGAGACTCCCCAGCACCACATGCCGCATCAGCATCAGACACGCCCTTAAAGCAGCCTGAGTCAGGGGGAAAAAAAAAGGAAAAAAAAAGAGCCAGCCAAATAGCTCAGTGGATTAAAGCACCTGCTTAGGCAGGCTCAGCGGCCAGGGTTCGATCCCCCGCAAGCAGTACCTGCCTGCACCTGGGACAGGCTGAGACAAGATGAAGACTGGGCATGGTGGTGCACACCTGTAATTCCAGCTCTTGGAAGGCTGAACACAGGCGGGTCACTACAAGTCCGATCTATGGAGTGAGACCCTGTAGACCCTGTACTAAAATTTAAAAAATAAATAAATAAAAATTTATTCTTTCACTTATTCTAAAATGCTAAAATTAAGAATTTTCCACATACTAACTGGAACTTATTATCAGGATTCATGCACAAAAATTCAACTGCACTTTAAAATCTAGGAACATGTATGTATAATCTAAAGCTAGGCATGGTGGCACACAACTGAGGACTGCCATGAGTTGGAGGACAGTTTGGGCTACATAGTGAGTTCATAGCCTGCCTGAACTACCCAGTGAGACCCTGTCTCAAAAAGAAAAAAAAGTAGGGTCAGCAAGATAGCTCAGCTGACTAAGCGCCTGCTTAGGCAAGCGCAGGGACCAGGGTTTGATCCCCACTCCCGGGGTACGCAAGGTACACACATGTAATCCCAACACTGAGGAGGCTGAAAACAGGAGGATCACCACAAGTCCAAGCTGCACAGTGAGATCCTGTACCAAATACAAAAAAAAAAAAAAAAAAAAAAATCATGAAAAAAGTATAATCTAAAAAAACTGAGTTTAGTACATTTAAAAATGAAATATCTAAAACTTCAAAGGCTGTTAAATGTTTCTATTTTTCTTTTTAAAAAATATATATATTTTTTTAATGTATTTAGTACAGGGCCTACAGGGTCTCACTACACAGATCAGACTCACAGGGATCCTCCTGTGTTCAGTCTCCCAAGTGCTGGGATTACAGGCATGCACCACCACGCCACCACGCCCCACCACGCCCGGTCTCAATCACTGTATCAGTGAGTCTCTTGGGGCGGGGCTGTGGCACAGCATGCTGTCCCCGAGGCTGCCTCAGGAGGCAATTTAGTTGGCTGAGGTATCTGGCCAGCCTTCTTCTTCTTTTTTTTTTAAGTAACAGAGATTAGGAGAATATATTTACTGGAGAAAGAAGGCTTCTGAGAGAGACAGAAGGGGTCTCAAGTGGACTGCCCTATTTCTGCTTTTCTAATCACAATATAAAAATATTAAAAGCTGGGCATGATGACGCATGCCTATAATTCCAGCACTTGGGAGGCTGAGGCAGGAGGATCATCTGAGTTCACGACCAGCTTGGGCTACAAAGTGAGCTCAAGGCCAACCTGAATGAAATCCTGTCTCAAGATGACAAAGAAAAAAATTATTAGCATATATGACAATTACCTTCTGAAAGTAGCCTCTCTTAAGAGATTTATCTCGAACTTGTCGAAAATACACATATCCATAAAAATAAGCAGGGTCTTTCTATAAAAGCGAAAAAATAAAAGTATGTTATTTTGATGTGTCGATGTACATATACAAACACACACATACATATGGCCATCTTTAACATTAGCATCAAATTGCTTTATAAATCCCAATCAAGATGTGCAGAATACATAGAACTAGTTACGCTTTTCTATCAATAAACAATAATTATGACAACAGCTGCCACAAAAAATCTGCAACTCTTCCCAAAGACAAAAGACCTATAATCTAAAATAAGACTTAGATCATCTAAAGTGAGACCTTTCCCTTACATCTCAGTTTATATCCATGATTCATATCTATAGTAGTTATTTTTTAAATTTATGTAATGCTTTTTTTTTTTTTTGCAGAATTGGGGGTTGAACTCAGCCCTTGAGCTTGCCAAGCAAGCACTTATTCTACTGAGCCATCTCCCCAGCCATATTGTAGTTATTGAAGATAGAAAATAACCAAATTCTGTATTTTCCCCAAAGTTATGTATTTTTTAAAATTCTGCCATATTGTTTTTCAATTTTGAATTTGTCAGGGATATAAGTCATCCATCTCTTGAAGTATCCTCATAAAATTTCAAGAGAGAAAATAAGAGGCACTAAATGTTAATCTGAATCACATATACTAGTCAGTTATATGTTAGCCCAATAATAATGAAACTTTCTCAGTGTTTTTTAACACACGATGTGAAAGGTCATTGTACTGAAAAACATGAGATCCTAATGAAATAAACTATGGTTCAATTCCTTATTTGATTGGTATTCTTTCAGTAAGTATTTATTAACCTTCTTCAAAGGTATTATGTTATCATAAAGAAAGGCATAAACCATAATTGTTTAAGAAGATTACAATCTGGGAAGGATATAAAAAGCACAAAAATGATTATTATGTAACAGAAGGGTAGGTGCCAGGAAAAAAAGCACAAACTGTTACAGGAAGATTGAGAGAAAAGAATAATGACTACACAGAAGTGGTTGATTTTCAACTGGGTATTGAAGGATGGATATGATTTATCTATGTCTTTGAAGACAAAGACATTGGAGATTTAGAGGGCCAAGAGTTTGAGCAAAAACAGGAAAAACATAACGTTTCTTAGAAAACCCACATAGGGCTAGGGCAACGGCACAGTGCCTGCCAGGAAGCACAAGGTGTTGAGTTCAATTTCTGGGAAAGGAGGGAGAGGAAAAGGGAGGAGGGAGGGGTAGGAGGGAGAGGAAGAGGGAATAAAATCCACATAGTTCAATTTAGCTAAACTATAGCATAACTATAAGGAAGAAGGTGGACACTGGAAAGGTAAAGGGTCTTACTTTGATAGCTCCAAATACTGAGGACAAGAAAACAGTTCTTTACCCTTTTATCAATTGCTCATCATTTTATATTCTATTTAGTTTTATACTACAGCTATACTTTAGTGCATAACACTGTAAGATAAGAATTCGGACATCTTTAGACAAACTTCTTACTCTCACTGGCCCTCATTTCCCTCATCTACAGAAGGAACTCTCTCAGAGAACTGCACAGAAGATTGATGTGGCAATATATGCTGTAGCGTCCAGCACACAAAATGCCTTCATATTTAAAAGCTATTATTGGGCTGGGGAGATAGCTCAGTGGCATAAGCACCTGCCTGGTAATTACAAGGTCCTAAGTTTGATCTCTGGTGAAAAAAAAAAAAAAAAAAAAAGCTATTATTGTCACTGATAGGAAGAGAATGTTTAACACACATTCCAAAGATAGGCATTTTGCAGAGAGAGGGTTCCTGCCATAAGCAGAACAGGAAGGTCAAATGCAAAAGCTGACTTCAGGCCAGTGACATCAAGTTCATACTGAATGTGCTGACAGGCTAGCCAGGTTGAAATGTTCCCCATGCAGCTAGAAATGTAAGCATAGAGTGCCAAGGACAGAAACATCCAGATTCTAACATCATCTGAATTATTAAAATTGTTTCAATAAACAGTAACTGTAAACAATGCTCATTAGGAAATCAAAAAGCAATAGTTAGATACTGAAGAACAGATACTGAAGCATAGGGGGTTACCACAGGGCACAACTACTGCAATTCTGAATGGTATGGCCTGTTTAGCACCACGCCACACCCCACATCTGAACAAAAAATTATTAACAAAAGAAAATCACCTCAGCATTCTCCTCCATTTCTATAATTCGCAATGGCATTATATGTTTGAAGAGCAACGACTTTACACAGTCTCAATCACTCACATGCTGAAACCTCAGAGTCTCTTAAGAAGCTCAGCCATATAGAGTAACAAAAGTCAAATATTTCTAAATGTTCAAAGAGGTAACTGAGAAAATGAGTTCTGATGTAATAGGTTCTAAGACTTTATTCTCCCATGGATATGTGTCTATAACTACTTTCCAACCTTTAAGTAAACTGGCAAATCTTTGTCAAACTGATCCAGAAGACAATGCAGCGACACCCTCCTCCCCGAAGACTGTCGAAATCTAAAACAAAACTGGGTGTCTCCAAGACAACCTAATGCAAACAAAAATGAAACAAAGTAAGGATAATTTAGTAGAACATTCATTTATCCAGTTGCTTCATTTTTAGAATTGAAAAAATTCTATAAGCATTAAACACATTCTGTCAGGTTTTAGAGAAGGAAAAAGAGATCCTAAGATCTCTTGTGATCTTGTCCATGTGCCTTGCTCAAAACCATTTTTTCTGAATAAAAGCAAAGCCCCAAGTGAAACAGGTCTTAACTCATAAGTCTCTTTGATTTTCCTATTTAATTTTCCCCATGCAATTAAAAATTTTGAGACTCTACCTGATATAATGCTCACGCACAAGTATAATACTGAGTAAAACAAACCAAACATAAATCTAAGTGGGTAAAACAAAACTTTATGTCAACCACAGTGATATATGTACACTACAAGTTACACTGGCACAATCTGGAACAGCTAAATCTTGGAATAGCCCAAATGTCCACCAACAATCAATGGATAAAGAAGATGTGGGGGTTTTTATACAATGGACTCTACCATAAAGGACAAGCTTGAAACATTTCTAGGCAAATGGATGCACCTTGGGACCACACTAAAATGAAATAAACCAGACATGAACGTATGAATATCACGTTGTTTTCTTGTGTCAAAAACTGGAACTGCAAATAAGGACCAAAAATTTATAATAGAGAATGTGAAATGGGAAGAAAACATTCAAATGGGGAGGGGAACAAGG